AGTGTCGCGGGGGAGGTGACCGGGGCCAACATGGAGGAAGCAGCCCGTGCCATCAGCATGGACCAGCACATCACCAAACACTTCCTCGAAGACAGTGTGGGTGTCCCCTCCGGATCCAACGTGCTGCACTGGGGCTGTCCCTGCTGCTGTCCCAGGAAGGTCCCTGGGTCCACACCAGCATCCAGGCTGGGCCACCATTTAGCCTGGTGGGACAGTTCGACCTGGCAACTGGCTTGTCCCCTATCATCTCTGGTGGCCCCAGGGTTGTTCCAGCTTGTCACCTGCCTCTGGGTGCTGGGGGTGGAGGGGGGGCTTACAGTGTCACTGTCCCTAACGGAACTTTGGTGTCCCCAGCTGGCACTGCAGCTGCGGTGGTCTCCCAGAAAAGGTCTGGGGGGGCAGCTGGTTCCAGAAAGACGTCCTCAACCTGAGCTGTCTCTGAGGCTCTCAACCCACCGGAGGTGGCTCAGCGCTGGCAGCTCAGGTCCTGGCCCAACCTTGCTGCCACACCTCCTGCCAGGAGCTCAACGGGTGCCAGTGCCACCGCTTTGCTGCCCGCATCGTTGCCTCTCCCTTCAACTCCGTCACAGCCAAGAAACTCGTGCTGTTGGGCTTTGCCTTGCAAATGGGCATGGGGGAACACAAGGTACTGGCTGGGGAGGAACAGCCAAGCTGGTGCAGCTGATGAGCAGCCTGATCTCTGCAGCCCCACGAGGATTTATTTACATGCTGGTCCCCAGTGCAGCTCAACTTTTCCTCTTAGCCCAGGGAGTCATCCAGCAGCCCCCATCAGCAAGTCCCAGATGGATGAAGGTGACAACCCACACACTTATGGTCTCAGGGTGCAGAATGAGCAGATCGTCCAGGCCACGTCCCACTCCATCACCGCAGCTGAGGGGTAAGGCCAGTGCATGCCTGGGGTGGCCAGGACCACAAGCCACCGGTACTGCCCAGCGTTGAGGCTCGGAGCAGGTCCTCAGTGCCATCCCAGGCCTAGCAGTTGTGTCCTGGGGAGCAGCACCCCGCCGTGACTGTGCCAGCAAGTGCCTGGTCTCCATTGCCCACCCATGCTGCTCCTGGAAGGACAGCTTGGACTTGGTGTTGGCATTGCAAATCTGCTGGATACTCTCCTCGTGAGCTCTTGCTCAGCCTGGTCTGCCTTGCCTCAGGACACCCCCCTGCCCCCCCAAACTTATGGCAACAGCCACGCTGTTGTCTTCCGCACTGGTACATCTGCACATCAACATCTTCAAGGTAAGCTGCTCCAGTCTTGGCCACAGTAGCAGGAAGGTCCCCTGGGGGCTAATCCTTTCAGACATCAGCTCTGCCCGTTTCTGCTGCCCCATGGGGCTGCTTGTTCCTCACCCTTTGGTTCTGATCTGTCCTGTGGAGTCTCTACCTCCACAATCCCCTCCACCCAGGTGGCCACTGGGATTGCCCATCAGCAGAGCCCCTTGGCCCCTGCACTCCTGGGCTGCTCTCAGCCCTGGTTCTCACCCTCAGAAGCTCCTCTTGGGGGTTCTTTCAGGAGCTGGACTATGAGGGAATCTACTGGACCATGCTGGTGCCCACAGGCTCTTGGTGGCTTGTGCTCCAGGTGGAGACCATCAGCAGGAGGATCAGGCAGCACTGCCCCTTCACCAGTGCCACGGCCCAGCAGGACGCTCAGGCTCCTCCTGTGAAGAAGATGAAGCAATGACATTTCTGTAGCTACATCTTAAGATGGCCATGAAGATGTGGTGTATCCGTACGCGGTGGGTGTTGCTGACCATGGATGCAGATGGGTGGGCTTCCCAGGGAGGGGGATTCCCTCGGTCCAGTGTGCTCACCGAGGCTGGGCTCAAGTCTCTCATTCCAGACTGTCCTAATAAAAAGACTTTGCTGCTTTGGGAGCTGGGGCAACCCTTCTTCCAGCCCTGCTCCTGGGCGATCGCAAACTTCCATGTCATCCTGAGCAATACCAAGGCTGGGACGCATCCTCAGGGCCAGCATAGCCCCTGAGGCCTTTGGAGTGCCCCAAATGGCACCTCTGGGTGGCATGGAATTGTCCATGGAGGTCCCAGAGGAGGGTGTCACAAGGAAAGGCACATTGAAGCCCCTGCAGTGCAACAAGAAATGCTCTGAAGACACCAAAATTCACTAGGAGGCTCTTGCGGGTGCACAGAGCTGGTGAGGGTCTTGATGTACCTCAGAAGGGACATGCAGACCTCTGGGGAGTACATAAAGGCACCTGGCAGCACGTGAGGGTGCACCAAAAGGCTCTTGGGAGTATCCTCATGGAGATCTCCAAAAGGAATAAGGATGACCCTCTGGTGCTGCCAAAGGAACGTGATGGGTCCAGATGCACTGGTAGAGCTCTAAGAAGCAGAGATCATCATGCAGGGCCATTCAAGGTGCACCAAATGGACTTGGGAGGTCCAGAGGCCACAGCCCAAAGCTCTGGGAGGCCTTTGGAGCACCAAAAAAGGCACCGGTTCATCAGTGCTGAGCACAGAACGGACACTGGAGGACACCTGTGAGGCACCTGGGCAGCACAGAAAGGCACATGGAGTCCCCTCGAGTGCACCAGAAGGCATTCGGGACCACAGCGAGCACAGAAAGGACCTTGGCAGCCACCTGGGTCCTTGGCACAGAAGAGACTAGCAGAGCTCTGTACTCAGAGGCACCCAGGTGTGCCCTGAAAGGCACTTGGAAGCCCCCACTGCTCATCGGAAACCACTTTTAGGCCACCGGGCACGCTGAGAAGCACTTGGAGACCCTGGAGAAGAGCATGAAGGTACTATGCTGTCCTAGAGGTGCACTCAAAGACCACTGGGGGCTCACCAAGAGGTGCCCCGAGGAGCCTGGGGCATGCTGGGCCATCAGAAAAGTCCCCAGTGAGAAGCCGGGGACACAAAGCTCCGGGTGGCAGAGGCTGGTGCCTTCCCCGGGAACAAAACGTGTCTA